GGGGGGGGGGGGGGGGGTGCTGAGGACAGGGGCTGGCTCCTGCATGGGGGAGGGGACGGAGATGCAGAAATCTGTGTATCATCTAGGAGGTAAAGCGAGGCTCTGGAGCCACAACAAACCTTTGTCCACTGTCAGCCCCATGTCCCCACCTTGTATCTTTGGCTCAGGGGTTGGAGTGAGATATGGAGTATTGAGTGAGGGTATGGAGTGAGATATGTCTTCATCTTTCAGTGGTTTCTTAGGACTCATTAAAGCCCTCCTGCTCCTGTCCTTGGCCAGAAGCTTCCCTGAGTGGTGCAGACTTCTCCCCACATTCCTGGAGCAGCCTCAAAAACACACAGATGGAACTGCAATCCCCATGTGCCATTGGGGCAGGGCAGAGAGAACCTGCATCCGCACCAAGTCCCTTCTTGTGCTGGGCCTCAGTTTTCTCATCTGTGACACGGGGGCAGCACCTGCCTCCTGTGCTAACTGTAAGACTGGAGAGATGATGCCAGTAATGCGCTCAGCACAGGGCTGACACCTGCACACAGCTATTTCAAGGGACCCTTTGCTGCTGCTTCTCTGAGCCTCATATTCCTACACGTAAAATGGGAATGGAGCTCCAGGTCAGTTGGACCTGGCACAGGGGGATGCTCTGTGGACATGAACTGGCTCACAGTGGTGGCATACGGACATGTGGCCTTCTTCCCAGTGCTTAGCTCCCCAGGGGCACCTGGAATGACAGGTCCACCCATGGGCTTTCTCCTAATGCTATGCTGCTGGACAGGTGGGAACAGTGAACTCCAGCAGCAAACAAATGTTGCGTCCCCGTGTGCCCAGCACTGTGCTGGGTGCTTTACTCCAGTTGTCTTGTGAGTCCTCCCAACCGCCCACGGAGATGGTGCAGTGGACTGAATGGCTCTCAGAAGTCACTGGAGCTTCACCCCACTGTGACTGTGGAGGGCGGGAAATCCTTTTGTGGTAATTGAAAGGTGGGGCCTTGAAGAGGTGATTAGATTGTAGGACTGTGCAGTAGTGAATGGATTAATAACTTGGTGGTCAGTGGTGTGGTTCGGAGGGCTTTAAAAGGAGAGCAAAGGTGGGGCCTTGAAGAGGTGATTAGATTGTAGGACTGTGCAGTAGTGAATGGATTAATAACTTGGTGGTCAGTGGTGTGGTTCTGAGGGCTTTAAAAGGAGAGCACATGAGTATCTCTTCTCTACCATTTTCTGCCATGTGACACCCTACATTGCTGTAAAGCCACCACCAAAGAAGACCCTCACCAGATGTGTTCCCTAGACTTTGGAATTCCCAGCCTCCAAAACTGTAAGAGATAGGGACCATGGCCCACTTCACAGATGAGAAGACTAAGGCCCCCAGAGCTCCCGTCATTGCTCCAGGGTGACACAGCCAGTAGGTGGTGAAGGAAGGGCTGGAACCCAGGTCTGCTATTCCTGAGCCTGTGCACATCCTTGTCCTCCCTAACGAGGCTCAGGAATATTCCCCCAGGGCCGGGGCCAGGACAGGGGTAGCACATACCTCCTCTCCTCCTCCAGCTGGTTGGACAGGTCTACTTTCTCTTTTCGCACACTCTCCACCAGCAGCCGGGCCCGCTGAAGCTTCTCCTCTGCTTCTGCAACATACTGGGTCCCAAGCAAGGCCCAGAACAGGGTCAGGGTCAGCCTCCTGGGGCATGGGGTCCAGGGCATGGGTAGTAGAGAGGCAGGAGTGTTGCAAAGAGCCTGGCCTGGAACCCCAGCTGCCCCTATTTTCCTGCCAGCCCCAGATGGGCATGAACAATAGGCCTAAGACATGAAGAGAGAGGGCCCAGCAGAGCACAAGGAATGGCAGAGGCAGTGAGACCCCAGACCCACCTGCCCCCAATACCCACCAACCCCTCAACCCATAAGGGCCTGAGACCTGTTGTCTTGTGAAGACCCGTGTCACAGCACACACATGAACTTGGCCTTATCAATCCTGACACGCAAGGAGGGGTGGGCCAAGCCCCAAATGGGGACGGGGCCCACGAGGGGGCTGTCATGCAGAGACAAATTTCAGAGCAAAGAGTAAGCATGTGATGGCAGCAGCCCCAAAGCTTGGGGCAAGGGTTCACTTCCCTGAAATCCAGCCTCCAAATCTGCTCGAAAGCATGATCTGAGATGTAGACAGTTGGATACAAAACAGGTTTACTGCAGTATTATGTAGAAAAAGTGAAAAATTAGAAACAATCTAAACCATAGGAGAGGACTGGCCATGTCAGTAAGAACACAGTCCGTGATGGTGGCAATGCAGCCATTAAGAAGGTGAGGAATTTCCCATGACCTAGAAAATGCTAGCACTATATTACGTAGGAAAAAAAGCAGGATACAGAAGTTTGTAGCCAGGTTCTGAAAGTACGTAGACTTGCTCATACACATAGAGAGAAAAGACTGGAAAGAAATTCACCAGGCTACTAAGGGGTATTTCTGGACAGGAGGGGTATGGGCATTGCTAATGTACATCTTAGCATTTCCCTGCACATCCCAGGTTCTCTACTCTGAGCATGTGTGACTTTGCAAGACTGGCTGGAGAAGATGCCCTTGGTTCCCCCCACTGTGGCCCCGCCTGCTGCCCACCTGCTCATGCTGTGCCTTGAGCAGGGCGATCTCCTTCTCCACCTCACAGATGTGGCTTGTGGCCTTGGCCACCTCGGCCCGCTCCAGGTCCCGTTCAGCCAGCAACTGTTCTATGTGCTGCTGCTTCTCCTTCAGCGCCTCCTGCAAAGCCGTCGTGCCTGAGATCTTCCGGGCGTAGCGTGAAGATGTCTCCGTAAGCTGCAGGAAGGTGTGGGTGCAGGCAGGGCTCAGGGATCTGGGACACTGTGGGTCAGCTGGCTCCACCTGGTCTAACCCACAGCGGCCCAGCAGGTGGGGGACCCAAGTGCTTCACTTCCAGGGGGCTGCTCCTCCTCCTGCCAGGGCCCAGGACACCCTGGCCCCTGCTGACTCACCCAGCAGGGAACTGTAATGTTTGAGATTTGGGGAACTCACCCTCCCAGGAGAGTCAGTTCCCGACAGTCAGAGCCCCTAGGGCTCAGCTAATGATGGGCTCCCTCACTTTGGTCACCTTTTCCCTGGCCAGGAAGAGCTTGGACAAAAGGACCTCTGTCCATCCCCACTGAGCAGCCTCCTCTTCTCCCCTTACCCAGGGTCCCTGTGCCAGTCTTTCTGAACCCTCTGTCCTGCATCTGTATGATCCTCCTTAACTCTCAGAGAAAGGCTTAGGCTACCAACAAATCAGTAATATAAAAAATAACAACAGGGCTGGTGGTTAGCTCAGTTGGTTATAATACAGTCTTATAATAAAAAGTCAAAAGTTCAGACCTCTGTACCAGCCAGCTGCCACAAAAAGTAAACAAATAAATTAGAATAACAATAAACATAAATGGATCGATCTTCCCTATAAAAAGACATAGACTTTTATCTTTACTCAAAAACTCCAAACTGAGGGATACCTGGAACCAGAGTAAGTCAAGGCAGACTGGAATACCTGGAACCCACCATCCTGATGCCCTATACACACATCAGAGTAGTCCCCTCCCCAGCCCCACCCTCACCAGGCCACTGCGACTGGGCCGGCCCCCCACAGAGGAGGCCACAGAGCTGACAGAGCTGATGGAGGAACTGCTGGGACTGTGGGTCAGCGCCGAGACACCCATGGCCATACGCTTGGTCTTCTTGGCCTTGGCAGGGCTGGTAGATGGGAAGCCGATGCGGATCACCTTGTGAATGGGTGCGAAGAGACCAAACTTGGGTGGGCACTGGAAGTACCTGGGGAAGCAGGAAAGACCAATGCTGCCATCACAGCCTCACAGCCTGGAGCCTCACCTGCAGCTGTGAACAGCCAGTGGGAATTCTCTTGGGGGTTGGGGGAATAACAGTTACTGGAACCCACTCTGCCAGTCTCTTTACATGAATGCTCATTTCAATCACCCAACTTTATCTATGTTCAAAGATGAGGAAATTTAGGCTCAGAGAGGTTAAGTAACTTGCTCACAGTCACACAGCTGGTTAAGTGGCGAAGCTGGGACTGGGCCTCCCAGTCTGCTGGGCGCCAAAGCCACTATGCTTGGCTCCCACAGACTGTCCAGAGGTCTCCAGCCATAGCTGCAACCCCATTCTCAGACTGCTCTCAGTCCACCCCCAGAACCAAGGAATCCCATCAGCTCTCTGCCCATGGAGCTCCCTGAATGGAGAAACAAAAGCCTGACAGAGACACCCTGGGGTGGGGTGGGGGCTGCTATCCAACCTGCCCCTGAATTCTGAAAACAAGAGTCAGTTGAGAGAAACATCCATCTTGAAAACAGGAAGGCAAAAAAGGTCACGGAAACCTGGATTCTCTTCTCTCCAAACCTCTCTGGTCATGGATTCCACACAACTACCAGTACTAGAACTGTCCAGTTTCAGATTCACCTTGAAACTACCATCCCATCCTGCCGCTTCCCACCTCCAGGTCTTTGCTCAGACCATCACCCCTGCCTAGTGTACCCTCTTGAAGCCTCTTCCAAGAGCAAACCCATCTTCCTTCGAAGCCTGGGGCAAGCTGGGCTCTTCCTCTGACGGTTCAGCCTGCACCTCAGTGGCCACTCCTGCTCAGAACTGTCACAGCCTCAGCCAGACCACAGAATCCAGCCCAAGGACAGCCAGCACAGGGACTTGGGCTGTCTCACCTTAGTCTACACCTGTGATAAACATCGTTCACTGGCCACATTGCTCCCCCAGCTCCAACGAGCCCAGACACAGCCTCAGACCCTCCTCAACTCAGCAACCTCATAGTCAATTCCCTTTAATCGGATGGTGTGAAAGCTGCAACCCACTTGTGACACTCGCCTTTGGCTGTACAAGCACTGGGCACTGTCTATTTCATGTGTCATCCAGGGGCACCCCCAGAAGGCAGAGGATGCATGCTCCTGCCCCACTTAGCCATGGATGGCATGGTGAAGGGAACATGGGGACGGGCAGATTCTCCTAGCACTTGCCTGTGACTGTGTGACCTTGAGCAATGACCTCTCTGGCCTCTGTTCTCTCATCTGTAAAATGGGATGGTAATCCCCCTCCACCTTAGCGGTCTGTGAGAGAGAGGGGAAGAGAAATCACCTGGATCATGGTGTCTGACACAACACACTAAATACTGGCTTCCTCAGATGTCCCATCCCCATCCCCTGCACCCACGCGTGGTGAAGAGGAGCCCCTCCCATACTCCTCAGGGCAAGCCCACCATACCTGGTGCCCGCCACTGCCCCATCATTCTTCCCAAGGGGCTCGTCCAGCTCCACGCCACACCACTCGCCCTTGGCAAAGTCTGTCTCCCCCACATACCGCACCACGCCAGTCTTCGTCCCGCCAACCTGTTGGCACACGGAGAGACTCAAGTCCAGAGGATGCAGGACACACAGGCAGAGAAGGTATGGGCGCCCAGGTGCCCAGGCTCATCCCATCCCTCCCTTCCAATATACAGGGGACAGGGAAGCTAGGGGATGATGAGGAGACACCCAAGGAAAGCTGGGAGGGATACAGGTTAACCAGTACCTCCCAGGGCTGTCTTGTGCAAGAGCACAAAGTTTGGAGACAGGCACACAGACCTGCATCCAAACTCTGCCACTTACAAGCTGTGTGGGCTTGGGAAAGTTACCTGACCTCTCTGAGCCTCAGCATCGTCATCTATAAAAAGGGTATTTGTAAGAATTAAGTACAGTATGTACAGTGTCTGGTACATACTAGAGCTTCAGTAAATGTTATCCTTAAAAACAGTATTAATGGTGGTTACCAGGAGCTAGCAGGGAGGGGGAAATGGGGAGTTATTGAGTGATAGGTACAGAGTTTCAGTTTTGCAAAATGAAAAAGTTCTGGAGATCTGTTTCACATAATGTGAATATACTTAACACTACTGAACTATACACTTAAAGATGATTAGGGCCTGGCTGGTTAGCTCAGCTGGTTAGAGCACAGCCTTGTAACACTAAGGTCACAGGTTCAGATCCCTGTACTGGCCAGCCACCAAAAAAACAAACAAACAAAAATAAATAAATAAAGATGATTAGGATGACAAATCTTATGCAATATATATTTTATCACTATTTTTAAAAACTCACACGACAGAAAAATAACAAGTGTGAATAAGTTTAAAATGTTAAAATCCAAGTTTTATACATATGCGTAGATTATAGAGTCAAATATCTCCAAAGCCTTAAAAAGCCCCAGATTGGGCTGGCCCGGTGGCGCACTGCTGTAGTGCGCTGCTTGGGAAGTGCGGCGGCGCTCCCGCCGAGGGTTCGTATCCCACATACAGACCGGTTCCCGCTCACTGGCTGAGCGAGGCGCGGGAGCGACACCGAGGGTTGCGATCCCGAAATGATATTCCATTGTATGGATACACCACACTCTGTAAATGATATTCCATTGTATGGATACACCACACTCTGTAAATGATATTCCATTGTATGGATACACCACACTCTGTAAATGATATTCCATTGTATGGATACACCACACTCTGTAAATGATATTCCATTGTATGGATACACCACACTCTGTAAATGATATTCCATTGTATGGATACACCACACTCTGTAAATGATATTCCATTGTATGGATACACCACACTCTGTAAATGATATTCCATTGTATGGATACACCACACTGTAAATCCACTCCTCTGCTGATGGACGTTTAGGTTGTTTCCACTCCTTGGCTCTTACAAGTAATATTGCTATGAATATTCATGTGCAAGTTTCAGTGTGAACACCTGTTTCTTATTCTCTTGCTGTTATTCTTGAATAATAGTTTGGCTGGGTCTATCCCTTAAGAATTTTGAAGGCTCCCTCGGTGTATTCTAAGCTTCTGGTGTTGCTGCTGACAAGTTCAAAGCCATCCAGAGTCTGGATCCTTTACATGAGACCTGTCTTCTCACTCTGGAAGTCCACAGCATGTCCTCTTTGTCCCAGGGTTCTGCAGCTTCATACGAGGTGCTTTGCTGTGGGACTCTTTCCACCCGCTGTCCTGGGATCCTGTGGGCCCTTTCAATAAAAACCCTTGTCAATCCTGAGGAATTTTCTTGAATTACTTATGTGATTCCTTCCCTTCTCTTTCCCTGTTCTCTCTCTGCAACCACAATCATTTGGAAGTTGGATCTACGGGACAAGTTTTCTAATATTCTTCTCTGTTCTCCCCTGTCTTTTTGCTCTGCTTTCTCAGAGATTTCCTTAAGTTTACCTTCTAACACTTCTGTGGAGTTTCTTATTGCTGTGATCCTATTTTTCATTTCCTAGAGCTTTTTTGTTCACTGAATGGTCACATTTGTATGAATACTCACGTCATGAATATTCACATTCATGCATTCAGCAGCATTTTGTTCATATTTAATGCCTGCATTTCCCTGGAGGACCGGTGCAGATGTGGCCGACAGCACACGGGCAGCTGAGTTAGGAAGCAGCTGGTGGGGAGAGGGGCTCAGCCTTCAGAACACACGTGTTCATTTGATCCTCATCTTTTAGTCCAACCTGCCTGGGGTCCCCTCATCCAAGGATTCTCTCTGCCTGTCAATAGAAACTAAATGCCCATCCCAGACATCGGCTGGAGGAACAGTCCCTGGGCAGAAGGGAACAGGTGCAGGGGGTGAGGTCTAAAGACTTTTAAGCCAATCCTCCTGTTTCTGGCCCTGCCATCAGCCCCATTTCCAGAGGCCCATGTGTGAGCAGGACATCGACTGCTTCTCTGTTTCCTGGCCGCCAGCTCCAGCCCTCGCTTCGATGGGTCTCAGTCATGCTGTATGGTCGCCTCTGCTCTTCTTTGTCCTTGAGGGTTTAAAATCTTTTTTCAAAAAATCTTTCACTGTCATTTTAGTGCAGGTTCAGCAGGGACTGAAAATAAGTGCATATTTTTATCTATCATGTTTATCTGAACCTAAATATGCCTGTCTAAATGTGACCTTCTCCTGACACACCCAAGTATGCCTCAGGTATATCTGAAAGGGACCAGCTCCTTAATTAAAACCACCTCCATTCCCACCACTCTTAAGGATGAATTATGTGCCAGGGACATTAAAGACACCAATTACAAACCTCACAATGCCATGAGATGGGCACTGTTACCCCATTCATGGAAAAACAGACTGAGGTTCAGAGAGGTCAGTGAGCAGAAAAGCCCCGTAGGTCTCACACTATTTACTACATACATCCTACTGCCTCCTCAATCCCAGCTGGACTCAGTCCCACACTGGGCTCCATCCCCTTGTGTCTTCTCCCCTCGGGTAGCGGGTCTCTGGCTAGACCCCTCACCAGCACCATGTTGGTGCTACTTTACCCTCAGTCCCCAGCTGCCTCTGGACCCAAATCCTTCCCTTGTCCTTCCCTCCTTCTTTAGTACAGCAGAGCCAGGCAGCTGTCCTCTCAGAGATGGGAACAGAGCAGAAACAAGGGAAACGTTTCCAGAGGGGAAGGGTCTGATGCCTGACCCCCACCCAGAGGCAGCACAGCCTCAAGAGACTCCCCTCCCCAAGGCTCCCCACTCCGTGTGTGTGTGCCAGGCCCCACCCTCCTGACTCTTCTCTCATTTTAAAACCCACCCTCCTGACTCTTCTCTCTTTTTAAAATTTTTTTTTTCCTTTTTGTCTTTTTTCGTGGCCGGCAACGGACCGCAACCTTCAGTGTCGCGCCCGTACCGGATCGGGACCGGCAACGGGATCGCAACCCTCGCTGCTGCACCCGCACCTCGCTCAGCCAGTGAGCGGGAACCGGTCTGTATGTGGGATCCGAACCCTCGGCGGGAGCGCCGCCACACTTCCCAAGCGGTGCACTGTAGCAGTGCGCCACCGGGCCGGCCCATCTCTTTTTAAAATTCTAAACATTTTTTTAATGCTTTAACTTAAAAACAATTAATAGACTTTATTTTTAGAGCAGTTTTAGGTGTACAGAAAAACTGAGCAGAAAGTACAGAGTTCCCACATATCCCCTCACTCCCTTCCCAAGAGTTCCCTTCTTGCACAAGTGTGGTACATCTGTGACAACTCATGAGCCCTTGAGCCCAGAGTGACACATTATGAACTAAAGTTTGTTAGGGTTCACCCTTCGTGTTGTATATTCTATGGGTTGTGACAAATGTGTGACAGGTACCCACTGTGGTAGTATCACACACAATAGCAGTTCTACTGCACTAAGAATCTGAGCTCCTCCTGTTCATCCTCCCTCCTTCCCCCAGAACCTTGGCAACCACTGACCTTTCTTTTCTTTTTCTTTTTTTTCTTTTTGTCTTTTTTCGTGACCGGCAACGGATCGCAACCCTCAGTGTCGCGCCCGTACCGGACCGGGACCGGCAACAGGATCGCAACCCTCGGTGCCGCGCCCGCACCTCGCTCAGCCAGTGAGCGGCCGGTCTGTATGTGGGATCCGAACCCTCAGCGGGAGCGCCGCCGCGCTCCCAAGCGGCGCACTGTAGCAGTGAGCCACCGGGCCGGCCCAACCACTGACCTTTCTACTGTCCCATGATTTTCCCTTTTCCAGAATGTGCTAGAGTTTAAATTATATAGTGTACAGCCTTTTCAGATTGGCTTCTGTTACTTAGCATTTAAGGTTCCTCTGGGCCTTTGTGTGGCTTGATAACACATTTCTTTTTATCACTGATTAATATTCCATGGTCTGGATGCGCCTCAGTTTATCCATTCACTACTGGAGGACATCTTGGTTGCTTCCAAGTTTGAGCAACTATGAACGAAGCTGCTGTAAACATCCGTGGCAGGTTTCTGTGTGGACATGTCTTCAGCTCATTTGGGTTTATACCAAGGAGCCCGACTCTACTGGATCGTATGGTAAAAGTATGTTCAGTTTTGTAGGAAACTGCCCAACTGTCTTCAAAGTGTGCATTCCCACCAGCAACAGATGAAAGTCCTGCTGCTCCACATCCGCACCAGCATTTGGTGCTGTCAGGGTTGGGGATTTTAGCCCCAGATGGTCCTTAGTGACTTCCTCGCTGCCCCCCTCCCCTCACTGTGGGCCAGACCCTGGCCCTTCCTTTTCCACACCTAGGTGTTTCCTGTGGGGCTGGAGTCCCTCCTGGCCTGGGTCAAACAGCAGCTAGACCCCACATGTCCCAAAGCAATGGCATGGCATGGGCAGATTGAATTCATTTGTTTCACAGGGACTTTCCTAAAATAAGCAGCTAGTTCTCGGTCCTCACTTGCTCCACCTTTCAGCAGAACTGGCACCATAATCCGCCCCCCTCCTCTGAAAAACATGTTCTTCTCTCCACTCCTAGGATTGCGCACACTCCTCTGGTCCCCTCCTCCACCTCCCAGCATCGGGTCAGAACTGCGGGCGTTGGCTTCTCTCCCTGTGTTGTTTCCCTGAGGAACCAC